TTAATCTGACTCTTATCGCGTACGAGTCAAAGGTTTGTTCTGAAAATATTGAACGTTATTAAATACAAGTCACTGGCAGAGTGTGCATTAAGGCTAAGTAACTTTTTGTTTTCTGTCTAAAATTTAATTGTGTCAAGAAAAATATCATAACTTTTGTCATTATCATTAAAGCAATAAAAATGAACTGGAAGGAAACCTACAGTAATGTATGTTCTAATGAACGCCCTAACAAATAAACTACACAAGACTAAAAAAACGAAGTTTTTAGAACAATCATCAATGCTTCATGTCGCTGTGGTTTTTGTCATTGCCATTTTCTACTTATTATGTATCATTCCTTTGTCCGCTGCTCGACTTAAACTTTTCTCTTTATTACCTTTCTGAAACTGAGAAGAAACACTAGAAGAAAAAAACAGTCTATATTTTTAGCTTAAAAAATCTTTAATGTCGTTAAATTTTATGATTGTTGCCGTTTTGCACTTGAAAGAAAAAAGAATTCTTTTTACAGAACACCAATAACTACATAACAACTACAAACTGTTCAATGCCGTCTGTTAACACATTAGATTCCCACTGTTCGAAGGTCATCTGTGCTCTCATCGGTTTCGCTACAGATGCCTTAAGCTTCAACCATCATAATACATATGACAATGACAAAAACAACAAATTATTTTTGTCGTTTTTATCTTTCACATTTTTATCATTGCATAAAGTCAATTGATGCAAATAATAATAACATTTAATTCTTTGTTTAAATACAGATGGTTTTTTTTTTTTTTGTCAGTTCATTGTTATTCCATTTTTGTTTTTTCTGCCGTTAATTTCTCACTAATAAAATTTTCAATAATAAATGTTTGAAAAAAGAAATTCTTAAACTTACTTAGCATTACCGAGACTGAAATGGAGAAACAGAAAAGCAGACATAATTCGTTGATCAACTGATAACCGTTTATGATCACACAGGTGATCATATATCTATCCAACTGTGATTATGTTTATGCATACAGCTCATAACTGTCCAGAACTGCTCTTTTTATTACCATCTCTTCAATATGTATCGTAAACCAGTGTTTCAGTAAAATAACATAAGTTGTAACTGTTTACGATGTTCAACAAATCATTCAGAAAAATTCATTTTGACAGGTCGCAAAAAAGTTGAGTGTAAACTAAGAAGTGCAGAATAAAAAAAAAAAAAAAAAAAAA